CGCTATCTCTCCCCCCCTCTCACTCTCTCTACTTGAGGATCTTGACTCTGAATACATCCGCTACTACCTGGTTCTATCTCCTACTACTAGCTATGTGGCTGTGGCCGCCTTCCTTCCTCAGCACAGTGCTGCCCCACCAGGGCTCTCGCGCATGCCACTCGCAGATAACGCACAAGCGCTTCAGCAGCACTTCCACACTTCTCACGAATGAGCCATCTGTTTGAAATGTGGGTGGCCAGTCCGTATACTGACTTGGACAGAGCCTGAACTCGTCCCAGCCTTTCTTTGGCTTGACTTGGACCTGGTACCACATGCCCACAGCCTGTTTTCTTCAGAATGTCAAGGCCTGGTACTCTCCCGACTTTTCATTGGTGTGCTGCTGCTTGGGTCTGTGAGTCACGACTTTCCGTCCGTGGAACCCATAAGTTTTTTCGACTGTGGGTTGTGACTCTTGCCTCTGGGAGACGACTTTTACCTGGAGAAGTGTCCTTTGCCTGTGGGGTATGACATTTCAATATGAGACGTGACTTTTGGTTACAGAGTGCAACTGTTGCCTTTGGAATGTGACTCTCCGCCGGGTACCTGTTGGACTTGGCCCCTGGGGTACCCGACTGTGACCTTTCTGAAACTGGCCGACTTGGCTTATTTTGGCCTGAGATTTTGACCCTGAGATTCAAATTCGGGGTCTGCATCGCAGAATGCCTTTCACTATGTTCTAGCGGAAGATTCATTCTCATTTTGTGAGTAGTGGAGCGAGGCCCTTAGTATATCCAGTTCATCTCCTGCACTATCTATGCCTCTTCTGCCAAAAAACAAAAAAAGAAGGAATGACACGTGGCGTCCTTTGGTTCCATTAAAATTGGATTTTGGAACGATACAAAGAAGATTAGCATGAGCCCTGTGCAAGGATGACACGCAATTGAGAAATGGTTTGAAAAAAAAAAAAAAAAGAATGCCACATGCAAGGAGATGCAGTTGATGAACACGAAGAGCTGAACGGGACACACAGCTTTTGCATGATATGGATGTGGACAAGCACGACCACAGCACAAGAACGATAGGCACACCCATCCACAGCCTTCTCGCATGGACCAAGATTGGGGCGCAGGGGGCAAGGGGGGGTGGGGGAGGGGGTTAAGGGGGGGGAGGCCACATTGAAAATCGCAGAAATCCACAACAAAAGGAAAGGATCGCTTGTTGGAACAAAAAGCGGACCGTACAAGATTCACCAGCCCATCAGGCACATGCATCAGCGCAAGACTCTTCAGCATAATGGAGCCACCTGTCAAATCACAGTCTCGCGGCCATCACGCATGGACCAAGATTGGGGCGGGGGGGGAAGGGGGGGGAAGGGGGGGGAAGGCCACATGCAAGGAGACGCAGTCTACTCACATGGACCGAGATGCAACTGCTTAGGCCATTTCGAGTGCGGTCCCACAGATGCGAATATACTTGAGGAAACTGCACCCCTCCCTTCAAATCACAGTCAATCCCTGAGCAGCAGCCCTTCAGCAGTAAACTCCCTCTCCCATCTCCACGATGAGATCCTCGACTCTGCGGGATCTCCCGACCCACATGCCCTTTTTCTCTAGACATTGCCGAGCCATAATCAACAGCCATTTTTTCAAAACCACTTTTTTCTGGGACTGTCATCTGACCTCGATCAACAGTCGGTTTCTGAAAAACAGCTTTTTCTCCAACCGTCACATGTCCACGATCCATGGCGATGGATAGGCTTTCAGAACCACAAACAGTTGCAGACACCCGCCCCCCTTCAAGCCAAACATCCTGACAATTCCTCGTCTCTCCCACATCCTTGCCAGCAGCAACAGCAACTCCACAGTACTGCGTGTGTTCGTCATCGCCACTGGCCACCGCCCCCATCGTGTGCGGCGAAACGTCACGCCAGCCATCAGAAAACCGCGCAACCCGCTCTGACGGGCTTGCTCCGGAAGTCTCCGATCGAACAGATTTGGATTGACTCCCATTCCACGTGGGCGAAGGACTTAGCCCACTCTCGATTTGCTTATTCAGCCACCGCTGTGATGGCAAGTCTTCAAACTGCTGCCCCTGTCCAATAGTCCTACACTGCTGCTGCTGCTGCTGGTGCTGCTGTGATTGCCTCTCCTCTGCTGTGATTGCCTCTCCTCTGCTGGTGCTGCTGTCATTGCCTCTCCTCTGCTGTGATTGCCTCTCCTCTGCGGACTTTATTCGGAACGTTGACCCAACGCTTGTTCCAGGTGTTGACGCAGTGCTTGTCGAGGATGAAAAGTACTGAGACAAATAAGAAGACGTCGGGGGAGTACTCGTCACGTACGGGCTGTGTTTAGGCAAACAAGAAGCCAGCACACGGGGAGGTACACTCAATCCTGCATTGTTGAAGAATGCTGAACGAACACCAGTTCTGCAGGCACAAGCCCAAAAAGAAGGGAAAGGGGAAGGAGGGGGGGGAAGGAGAAGCCACATCAAAATTAAGTGTGTTTGCGGACGTAGATGCATGCAATTGTTTACAAACACATGACGATTTCAAATCCTTCCGGATACAGTAACATTTGGGGCTACCCCTGAAACAACAAAAAAAAGACAAAAAAAAGAAGACGGAAAATGTGTTTTTGCAGACCAAGCAAAAGTTTGAAAGATCGCCCACTTCGCCCCCTTGGACGCACGGGTTGCATGTATGCATGCGTTCGTGCGCACATGCATCCATGTATGTTTGCCTCTGTGTGTGTGTGCACGCATGCATCCGTGCATGTGTGCCGCTGTGTGTGTGTGTGCACGCATGCATCCGTGCATTTGTGCCTCTGTGTGTGTGTGTGTGCCTGGGTGCCTGTATGCGTGTATGATTGGATGTGTGCGTGTTAAATGTATGTACGTAGTACGTACGTAGGTATGTAGGCAGGTAGGTATGTACGTAGGTACGTATGTACGATAGGTATGCGTACGTAGGTATGTGTACGCAGGTACGTACGCACGTACGCACGTATATATGTACGTATGTACGTACGTATGTATGTACGTACGTATGTACGTACGTATGTACGTATGCACGTACGTATGTATGTATGTATGTAGTATGTATGTATGTATGTATGCATCCTTTATGTACGTAGGTCTGCAGGAGAAGGCAACAGACCTGTAATGTATGTACGTATGCACGTATGTATGTATGTATGTATGTATGTATGTATGTATGTATGTATGCATCCTTTATGTACGTAGGTCTGCAGGAGAAGGCAACAGACCTCTTGTGCAGGGAAGAGGAGTCAAAAGTCATCCAGGCGGAAAGGGGAAATGCAAAAAACTTGAAAAATATGAAATGCAGAAAAGATTGGAGCGTGTAGGGATCACCAGCTAATGATTGGAGCGTGTAGGGATGACCTGATTATGATAAGGTCTCCGTGTGTACCATCCACAGGCACTGGGAAGGTGCCAACGATTTCTCAACACCGCACTTTCATCACATCAGACAGTTCTTGGGGGGGGGGGGGGGGGGCAAGCAGGCAGGCAGGCGGTCGGGTGAGCGGGTGAGCGGACAGGCAGGCAGGCTGGCGGACGCATGCACGCACACGCAGATGGGCGGATGGATGGACGGGAGGCAGAACGGAAGAAATGTAGAGAGGGAGAAAGGGGGGGGCAGAGAGAGAAAGAAAGAGAGAGAGAAAGAGGACAGCCCAGGAGAGCGATGGAGACAACGGGGAGAGAGCGAGGGAGAGCAAGGGAGAGAGCGAGGGAGAGCAAGGGAGAGCCCAGGGGAGATAGGTGGACCAGGAGTGAGGGAAAGAGCGGAGGAGAGAGCAAGATAGGGAGGAAGAGACGGGTGGAGAGAGGGAGAGAGGGAGAGAGGGAGAGAGGGAGAGAGAGGGAGAGAGGGAGAGG